GTACTTTTTTTTTTGTATTTCTATTTGACATTATCTGATACTTAAAATTAATGTTTTATATGTTGATTGTTAATCTGTTAACTATTTCTTATTGAATATACCATTTATAATCGGTTCTCATATTTAAAATCATCTTTTAAGTGATCAGATTAGAAATTGATATTGAAAATGGATTTGAATTTAACTAAACAGAAGAAAGAATTAATCCCAAGTTTGATAAACTTTGCTCTGCTCATGATTTTAAGACATCGGTATAATCTTAAGATACAATCATAAGCCATTTACAAGGCTGATGTCAAAGCCAATATGAAAACTATATTAAAGCTATATAAAAAAAACATAAACACAAGTAGTAAACGAATTGGATCCAACATTTTGGATTTATTATTACCTTACATACTATGTTATTGCCTTAGATTTGCTGATTCTCTTAATCAGCTAATGTTTTTCTGTATGCTTTAATTTTAACATCTTAAGACATTACTTAAATTTTGTGATGGTAAAAATGGACTATAAATACCAATCTTACTATCAATATATATATATATATATGTGAGTACATCTTGTCTGTTTTGATTTTCAGCCTCTAAAAAGCAAAGTTACAAATGGGAACTGCGAGACATTGACTTTTGAAAGAACGCCTATCATGTCAACGTACTTAGTAGCTGTAGTAGTAGGCGATTTCGATTACATAGAGGACATGTCTAGTGATGGTGTATTAGTTCGAGTTTATGTACCCAAATCTAAGAAAGAACAGGGCCAGTTTGCTCTAGAAGTGGCCACCAAGGTGCTGCCTTACTACAAGACTTACTTTGGTATCGCGTATCCCTTACCGAAAATCGATCTTATAGCGATTGCCGATTTTTCGTCTGGCGCTATGGAAAATTGGGGACTCGTTACATACCGCGAGACCTGTTTACTCGTGGATCCACAGAACACGTCGGCAGTACGCAAACAGTGGATCGCGTTGATAGTAGCACACGAGTTGGCACATCAATGGTTCGGTAATCTTGTGACAATGGAATGGTGGACGCATTTATGGTTGAATGAAGGCTACGCATCGTTCGTAGAGTTCCTGTGCGTTGCGCATTTGTTCCCAGAGTATGATATCTGGACGCAGTTCGTAACGGACACATATATACGAGCGTTGGAATTAGATGCTTTGAAGAACAGTCATCCAATCGAGGTACCGGTAGGTCACCCGTCGGAGATCGACGAGATCTTTGACGACATATCGTATCACAAGGGCGCCTCTGTGATTCGTATGTTGCATGCATACATAGGTGAT